TCCTCCTCCTCCTCCTCCCCAGGGGGAGAGGGCACCAGGCCCGAGGGACGCCTCCCACCGCCTCCTTCGTGTAAACTCGTCTCCAGGAATTCCTTTCGCTTCCAGGTGGCATCATCTGGTGATCAGCCTCCGCCTTCCCCTCTCACTGCAAAATCAGGAGCGGTTTCTCTAGAAAGCAGTCGAAGCAGCAGCTACTAATTGGAACCATTTTTTTTTTTAATTATAGCATTATTAATACATTTTATCTTGCAGCAGTATCTGTACCCACCCCAGGATTCAAAAGGCAGCAAAGCTCCCGCAGAAACCAGTTTTGCTCAGCTTGAAGTGTAGTCGTAAAGTAAAACGCTCCTCAACCCTCCGTAACCCTGACCAGGAGCACAGCATCTTCCATCTGAATTCCACACCGCGTGAACAGCACATGCACCATCAAGTTTTTAGGACTGACCCGATCTCTGGGTCAGGCGTCTCCATGAAAACAGTATAGCCAGGGCTTTTAAGGGCACAATTACTTCTGCTTCCTGTTTCAAGACCTCATTTTCAAATATTTATCAAATGCTAATGAAGCTTCAGTTTGACGCTGTCAATTGCTTCTGAAGACAAGGCTGGGAAAAAATATTTTGTTCCTGTTAACTATGGCTTGAGATTTTCAGATGTCCTTATTAGTCTCACCCCCTCTTATTTTGAACCTGGGAAATGAAGCTCGGATGGGAAGGACAGGTCAAACGCGCAGGCATTGCATGTGCTCTTCAGCCCAAAAGAAAACTCACCCAAATTCACCTCTGAAAAAGACACGTTTTTGCACAAACTGGCAAGTCTAAGTGTAATAGCACCTCAAGGAGACTCTGCCCTTGCTCAGAGTACCACAAAGGATTTCAGATGTTTGCTGAGACGGCTGCTCCGGCCAGAAGATGAGGGGCAAGTCCTGATACGTGGAGTTCCTGTCTTTACTACACCTGCCAGCATTTGTCCGATACCCAAGCCAAACAGAGACAGGAGCCACTGAAGGAGAAGGCAGAAAAAGGAAACTCCGGGTCTCTTAGCCAACAAGTAAGGAGAACAAGACTTGGAGAAGGAGCCCTATTGGGAAAACAAAAGGTAGGAGGAGGGGTAGATTAAAAAGCATAAAACTCAAGGATGCTAAGAATAGGGAAAGGTGGGGATGCAAGGGGCACCCAATCTGTACCTTTCATAACATGTAAGATGGAATGTGAGACTGAATTTTGTTGTTTGTTTGCCAGGGAACAGCTGTAAAAACCACCAGGAATGTGCTTCAGGCCAATTTAGTGCTTTTTTGGGGGTCTACTTTAACACTGTTATTGAATAGTATTACACAATACTGGCGTCTTGCTTTAAGGTGATTTTTGCAACATTTAGAATACTGTGTTTTGAAGGAATGTCTTCCTCTTGATCTTCTAAACTGAGATACCAGAAGGAAATCTGCTGCTCTCTTGAAGTCAGCGGGAAGTTTGCTTGCATAAGGAGAACTCGTTAGGACTCTTGACAGTGTTTCACAGCTTGTACAAAGTTCTCCAACATATTAGAGCTCATCTTTTTCGTTGTTCTTCTTCAGGAAAGAAGCAAGGATATTGAGGCTTTTCTGGAGCTCCTCCTTTTTTCCATCACTCATTTTGTTCTTCTCGATCAGTTTTGTGATTCGGACCACTTCATTAGCGGCGAACTCTTCTCCCTGCTCCAGTATCTTGCTCATAATTTTCAAGTATTGCTCAGCTGACTTCTTCTCAGTTTCTTTTGTTTTTTCTAAACTTTCTTGCCCCTTTTTCAGGAGGGACTGGCGTTCCGATTTCTCAGTGGTGCTCACAAACTTGCTGGCCAGCACGTCATACTCTTTCAGGCAGCCTGGCATCCCCAGATAGATGCCGTTGCTCTTCAGCCAGCGCTGAATAGCCCCGGCCTTGATATGGCCGCTGTAAGGTAAGGGATTGTCAAAGTCACCATCCTGGAACAAGTAAAAAATCGGGAACTTCTCCTTATCCAGCTTGTACTTTTCTCCCAGCTCAGTGTTCAATTTATCACCATAATCTGTCAGGAGAAAATGAAACACAGAAAAGCACAGTACATCAATCAAAAGAAAAAAAACGAAATTAGGATTCTCTCCTACACAAAGTGATAAATAATTTGTCTCCAGAGTTTCAACACGTCCTAGTAACATCTTTGCCAGGAAAAAACACTGGAAAAAATACACTGGAACAAAAACACCCCAGAAAATCACTTCTGCAAGGCAAACCATCACTAGGTTTTCCAAAGAAAAATACAAGATTCTAACGGTGCTTTGCTGTGACTGTGACAGCAAAAGACATTGGCAGGACCTCTACGTACAAACCCTGTCTTCCTATGGGAAATGGGTAGCCATTTTTTGCCTTGTTTTGCCTTATCCATTGATTTTATTTGATTTTAAATGGATTTTTTCCCAATCTATGTGCAGAGAGTGTATACTTACACGTTTTAGTTCTGACAGCATGCCAACCTATGAGATGTTTTCTCATCTTACATAAATTGTATTTATACTTGAGAACAGAAAACATAAAGAGATTTCAACTATGCCACTTAGCTAAATCCATGAGTGTTTAGAGATGTCAGTGTGGGTGAAACTTCCCAGTTAGACAATTCCTGTAAGCTTAAATCCTTAATTCTACCTACAAAGCAAGAGCAAGTAGAAGTGACAGTGACCCATTCCTCACTGCTTTTCTCTTAAAACCAATTACAGGAACATCAAGTTCCACCAGCCATGGTGCAATGACCACTTTCTGTGCTTCACCAGCAATAAACGGAACGTTTGCTATAACGAATTAATGATCCTACACATGCTTTGTTTGACTAGGCTTGTGCCTAAAGCATGATTATTGTAAGGTCTCTTCCCTGGAAATGAACGAAAAGGTTTCTCTGGCAAAGAACGAGGAGAAAAACCCACAAACAAAAAGTGCCATGAATGAGGAGGGTGACATCCAGCTTAGCAGTGTGGGCTGAGCTGCTTCATTAAGCAGTCAGGAGGAGATAAGCGGCACTCCTACGCTCCCGGTGGCAGAGCTCAGCGGCCAGCCAGAGCAGGTGCTTTGGTCTGACAGGGCTGGGCTGATCTCATTTCTCAGGATCAGAATGACCTCAGAGCCTGTTTTCATCAGAAATTGCAGTGAATTTTATTTCCTCACCACCACCCCATACCGTACCAATCCACCCAGAGCTCCTCACCTGATATTCCCACTTCAGCCACCAGAAGATCGTCACTGGAGCCTGAGCTCTCTGCCAGCTTTTTAAACTCATCTTGTTTCTCACCGTACGGATATTGTGTGTCAAATTTCACAAGAACAAACTTATGCTTCGGAACTACCTAAAAGAAGAAAAAACAAAAAAAAAGGCAAAACTTTAGCATTTCAGGTTTGAGTAATGAGTAAGTCACCTAAGGTCGCTTTAGCTTGTTCTTCTTTTCATGTGCAATGAGTAGATGCGGAGGGAGAATGGAAATTTTATAATTACGGCCTTTTGAAAATGACTCACTGCAGCGTGAAGGAAAGACCGAGCTTGGGGTGTACGTATTCCTCCACCAGATGATGAAGATGGTAGGTGGCAGGTTCGGGGGAAGCTGATAACGCCTTTAATTATACATGACTTGCTTGTTGTAAATCTGATTAGCATCTTGGAAGGAAGTCAGCTACACAGTTTCCAGGGGGACGTTAAGAGGATAGAGGTCAAATCTCAGGTCATTCTGAAGCGTCCCAGCATGAGAACCGCAGCTCTTGGCTAAGAGAGGAGGAGCGGTGATGCTGGAGGTGCTGTACTGGTTCAGCAAATGGAGAATCCGTGTTTTAACTGATTCCTCTTCGCTCGGGCCATTGCTCTTGGTTCCGATGATGTCCTTTCAAATGAGCTCAGAGATGGAATCCATCACCTGGCTTGGGATTTTTTTTCTCCCTCCAGAAGACCTTGCAAAATCTTTTTTTTCTAGCAAATGGGGTCAGATTGCAACACAGGTCTCCACCTACACGGTGCACTGCAAGCACCGTTCCCACGCTGACATAACAGCTGGCTGCAGCAGCGAACAAGTGTCTTCACATCTGGGCCTGCTGATCGCTTTTTTTTACTGTCCTGCTAAGCCGCGAGCACGGCAGGTGTTACAGCTTCGTGCTGCTCTTTCAAAAGTCCCTCTTTTCAGCATTCTGCCAATTACTTAAAACTCTTTTTGCTGCAGAAGAGCTGGACGCTCCAGAAGGGTCGTGGCGTTTAAACGCCAAAAACGGTTTGTTGCAGCAGAAAAACCGAGCAGGGGGCTGGCACGTGGCGAGAAGTGTTCGCCCATGCCCGAGCGCTGTGTTTAGGGCACGTACTTTTCCAACAGCTCAGCTGGTTGCTGTCTCCAGCTCACGCTGCTCCAGCACAGGCTTTAATCCTGCCGTAGGACGATTCCCCTTCC